GTGCCCCGCGGGGACTCGGAGCAGGTGCGCTACTGCGCGCGCCTCTCCTACCTCTGGCTCAAGTTTTCGCTCGTCATTTACTCCACAGTCTTCTGGGTGAGTGACCCCAGTAGGGCCCGGGGATGGAGGTGGGGGCACCCTCCCTCGACCGCCCCCACGCCGAGCCCGGGCTTGCGTCCAGACGTGGCTGCTCCTCGCCCCCCTCTCCCTGGAAACGGGGAGATTCTGGCTCAGCCTGTATTTCAGCCCCCTGGTCGGGATCCTTAGAGCCGCTTGGCTACGACGAAGGAGCACCTCCTAGCTCACCTGTGCGCACTTGACCAGCCCTTTGGTCCTCAGCGTCCCTGCGGGTAGGCCTGGCTCCCGCGTGCGCCTCGACCACCCCCACCCCGCCTGCGGGGCGTTACTGAGTTTCCCTCCCCATCAGCCTGTGCAGGAGGCTTTGTGGCCCTGGACTCCCGGCCAGGTCCCCACTATTTACTTGCTGATGCCCCTGAGCAAGGTGCTTCCCCGCTGCTCTTGGTTCCCTCCGAGTGGAAGGAGGATGTGCCAGGAGGATGTGCGTGCCTTGCCCGCCGCCGGTTGGGAGGGTTCCACCAGACGACATCTGGGGAGGTCTCCGGCCACTTTTAGGAGCTTAGTAACAATTTCCACGCCCACTGAGCTTTCCCTCCCCTTCTACTGTCTTGATGGGGGCAGGATGGTAGTCCTTGGACATGAACCAGGCTTCGAATCCTGTTGATACCACTTTCGAGCTGAGTGATTTTGGGGAAGTTCCTTCAACTCATTACCGCACTTGTAAATGGAGACTAATTATATTCAACGTTTAGGATGGTTGTGGAGCTTCAATGAAGTAGGCCAAGCACAGTGCTTAGCACAGGGACCAGGGAAGAGCGCAAGGAGTGCAAGTCCTTTTTTAAATTGTGGGCAAGGAAACTGGGTCTCCCGGTAAACTGTCCCCAAGAGACTGGGTTTCTTTATGGAGAGTTCAGACGAGGCTGGCCCCCACGTGGAAATGAAGACATCTGGCCACAGTCCGATTCCAGGCCTGCCAGTGTAGACTAGGCCCTTGCCTTCCATGTGCCACAGGGCAGACTCTCCCCAGAAAGGGGAGAGGAAGTCACTGACACCCATCGCCCCCAAACTCATGCGCACGCCTGTCTCCCCCTCGGCCTCTCCCTGGCTCTATTCTACCGGCAGGAACTGTCAGATCTGCCACCAGGCCTGGCTTTCCCTGTGGCCCCTCTGCAGATGTGACCTGGCCTAGTGGCCAAGAGACCCATATTCTAATCTTGTTCTGCCCCTGACTCACTGGGAGGTCTTAAGCCAGTCACGTTCTGTTGGGAGCCTCAGAGCTGTTAAGCGACTAGCCCATCTAGAAAACTAGGTGAGCCCAGCTCCCAATCCAAGTCTCGAACACTACGTAATGTGGGAGAGGGAGGAGCAGTATGTTTGGGGGCCAGAGGATGAGCACAGACATGTGGGTGGGAACCCCAGGGAGGCAGCAGGGTGAACGTGGGATTGAGACAGGGCTGATTTGGCTTCTCATTCAGTGTTGCATCAGAGTCAAGTAGAGAGTTTTAAAAACACTACCGATGCCTGGCATGGGTATTTATTTTAACTTACCGTATTTAAGCTCTCCAGGTAATGTTAGTGTGGACTCAGGGTTGAAAACTGCTGGGCTAGATGGTCTCACGGGCCCCTCGATTCTGATTCTGGGATGCTTTGCCTGCCCCTTGCTTGTCTGGCCTCAGGAGCTCTTCTCTCAGAAGGTCCGAGTTGAGAGAGGGAAGGCTAACATTGGTGGGTGTGGAGGTGGGGAAATAGGGAAGGCCAGGAGTCAGAAGGTGGGGGTTCCGTTTCTGGCCTCACCCCTTCTCTCCATATGTAATCACTGACCAGCCTCTTAACCTCCTTCTGCCTCCATTTTCCCATCTGTAAACTGGATGACTGATACTGTGCTCCACACTGCCTTGGGCTGTTTTTAGGATCAGTGATGTGAGGAGAGAGTGACATGTGGGCAAGCCAAGTGCTGTACAAAAGAAAGTTATACCATTAAACTAAGCTTGCCCTGGCTGGTGGAGCGTCATCTCATGGGTTGATTCCTGGTCAGGGCACATACCTAGGTTGCAGGTTCAAATCCTGGTCTGGGCGTATTTAGAAGGCAACCAATCAATGTATCTCTCTCACATTGATGTTTCTCTCTCTCCCCTTTCTAAAATCAATAATAAAAACAAACTAATCTTGAATTGTCAAGGCCTTGTTCTGCCATTGTCTCCTGCAGCCCAGAGAAAAGACCACCTTATGGCCCTGGCTTCGCTTCTTCTCTTGGGTCAGGGTTGGTCTCAGAACTCGGAATCCTTCCTCTCCAGCCAACTGAGCTCACCTTACCAAGTCCTTGACTTCCCATCCCTGGAATTATTTCTGCTTAAAAATCTCCCCACCCATGCCAAGAACTCAGCCACCTGCCAACTCTGCCTGGGCAGCTCCAGGGGCCGGAGTTTGACTGCAGGGCGGGAGCCCAGTGTGAGTAAGTAATTTGTTCGAGACTGGGTTTGCTGTTAATTGCACATCATTACAGGAAAGCCCATTATGCCTGGTTCCATCCCTCGGGAGGAGGAGTGGTGCCAAGGGTTATTTGCTTTATAAGCCCAAAGTGCTAACACTTTCATCTCAGCCTTTAGGTCTGGAAGGAGCCATAATGTTTACCATAACCATGCACCTTCTGTAAGACTTGGCTTTAAAACTTATTATTATCAAGTAAAGGCATTGTACAACATTTCTAAGTACAAAAGAGTAGTTATCAGTGACAAATCTCCCTCCTACCCCTCTCCCCTGACCTGCACTGTCCAGAGGGGACAGCTATTATCAGCTTCTTGTGATTCTTTTCTGAGCTAATATTCTACCATAGGATGCCCTAGACACATACATGTGCATATGCTATATTCTTGTTTTTCCACAAGCACACAGTTCTGCCCCTTACCTCTTTATTTACATTTAAATCCATGTAAAATCTGAAGCTCGGCTAAGGGTTGCCTCATTCTGTTTGAGGGCCACATGGAATTCACTGTAGGCGATGCCAGAATTTATTCAATCGGTCTCCAGCTGGGGAACTCCGGTTGTTTCCGATTCCTAGTTTCTGTAAACTGAGCTGCAGTGAGCATCTTCAAATGTCTGTGGGTTAATTTCCAGACATTTGCTTTGCACGTATCTGTGCATGTCTGTGGGTTAATTTCCAGAAGTGGAATTGCTGGGTTAAAGGTTATGTGAATGTATAATATACATACAGAAAAGCACCAATCATAAGTGTATGCGGCCCTACCTGCTTTGGCTCAGTGGATAGAGCGTCGGCCTGTGGACTGAAGAGTCCCAGGTTTGATTCCGGTCAAGGGCACCTGCCCGGGTTGCGGGCTGGATCCCCAGTGTGGGGTGTGCAGGAGGCAGCTCATCAATGATTCTCATCATTGATGTTTCTATCTCTCTCTTCCTCTCTGAAATCAATAAAAATATATTTAAAAAAAATAAGTGTATGCAGCTTGATGGATTTTTACAAAGTGAACACACCTGTATAATGAGCTCCCAGGACAACCAGCAGAATGGACAGCAGAAGCCAGAGCACACCTTGTTCCCACTTCTGATTCCTACCCCTCCCTTCCAGTGGTAATCACCACTGGAATGTCCAATAGCATTGGACAGCTTGGCCTGGTTTTGTATGTGCTTACAAGGTTGACAAGTGTTAGCTTGCTCCACATAGAGGTTTTACCAACGGTAACGTTCTTTGCTGTATACCTGTAAACGGACTCACTTTTTAAACTTAAGTTTGTTTTTAAAAGAAGGGTTTATACACTACTACCAATGGAAAAATAATATTCCCTCATCAAATATAGTAGGTAACGGTTACAGTAAGTACAGTGCAAGGAAACCAACGTTATTAAATCCTAGCTAGATATTATGGGTGTGGTAGGCTGTGAACCTGAGGCCTGCCCTCTTTGTTCAAAAAGCAGTTTGGCAAGTGTTTCAGAGGCTTAAAGACAAGCTGGCACCAAAGCTGAGATTTGCTCCTTTATGCGATGGGGAGGGTCAGATGGGAAGTGAGCAATGAGAACTTTTCTGTCCATGAGTCAATATGAGTCCAACCTTGAACCACTTACAGTGATCTCCTGCCACTCTTGGGGGGCCCTCTCGCTTTCATAGGGGGACCTTAGGGCCCAGAGAGGACATATTTCATAGTTGCTCAGTGAAGTTGGCATGAACCCCCGGGTGTCCACCCCCCCAGTTCATTGCTCCTTCTGGTAGGTTGCTGAGGGTTCTCCATGAGCAATGACCTCACCCAGAGGCGCTTGGAACCAACTCTTCCCATCATGCAGGGTGAATCATTCTGACACATGTGCCCTCAGCCCATTGGGGACACACCTCTATTTTTAGCACTCACCGCAGGGTAGTCCAGAGATCCGTTTACATGACTGTTTCTCCTTGCTGGACTGTGGGCTCCTGGAGGTCAGGGTGTGGCTCATTCATATCTTCTTCCAAATGCTGGTCTCGGGGCTGGGCACCCAGTAGGTGCTCACAGAAGGCCTGTTGCATGGAGGTGGTCGAGTCCAAATCTGTGTCTTTTAAGTAAGGATTTGAGATGGGGGAGCCTGGATTAGAGGCCGAGCAGGGTTGTAGCCAGCAGTGGTTAGATGTTGCTGAGGTCTTGAATTTGTGAAGTGGGCAGGGTCGATCATGGAGGAACTGTCACTCTGGGAACATTAGTAGTAATATTAGTAGTAATATTAGGAAGAAAAGAACTTAGGGGGGTGAGTGGGAAGGAAGTGGATGTGGGTAAGTAGTGAAGGTAATGTGTCAGAGGCGATATTAACTTTGCTTTGCTTTGTCCAAGCATGGACCCTGTTATCATAGCTTGGCCTGTGTTTTCTTATACATTCCTGTAGTTTAACAAATGGGGAAGAGTGCGGACTCTGGACCAGGCTGCCTGGGTTCAAATCCCAATTCTGGTCCTTACAGGTTGAGTGACTTAGGCAGTAGCTTCCATGTGCCTCACTTGCCCTATTTGTAAAATTGAGTGATATTAAAATCTACCTGAGAGTTGCTGC